ATTACTGTAAAACTGTAATTTAATAATACATTATATTATTAAATTACAAAACAAGAATGTTGTATATTTGTTTATTACTTAATAAAAAATGTTGCTGCCATCGTATTACCGCTGTACCGCATGATATTTCCCGATTCGACTATGAGGTTTATTGTCATATCTATTAATTATGATTTAAAGAACTTTAAACTTAACATGTGGTATATAATTAATTATTAGATATAAATATTGAATATAAAACAACATATTTGTATAATAAATAAATTAATTGTAATAAAAAATAGTATTGTTTTATTTACCAACTCATTTGCTTCTTTTATAGCCTGATATTTATATTTTATGACAAAAAACAAAAAACAAAAAAAAAAAATAAGAAAAATAACAAGGTAAAATAAAATTAACTTTTAGCTGGAATAGAACCCACATCATTGATCCTTGAAAGACGATAAAAGCGTGCTCATTAACCAATCGACCACGAGCACTACGATAATGACAGTGAAAATGTCGGGTCATATCAATGATTGTAAATAGTTTTAACCTTACCTATGCATTAAATTATAAAAATACGTATACCGACACAAGAATGAAAATACCAATGTGAACGTGGTGGACGAATATTTTTATATACAGTTATATGAAATTACGCACACATGTACACTGTGTAAATGACAGTTGTGTCGATGTGTAGCGCTGCAACTAATTAGCGGTGCTTTGTGTACTTATGTATTTAATTATTATTATTATCAATCGAGTTACGTAGAGACCTATGATTATACATTTAACTATTGATACTTACTTAGAATCGATTTACCAACTAAGTAATAGTTAATCGAATTTGTAGAATATTTGAATGTACACCGAATGAAGTCGAGGAATAAACTAAGTCCCGAATAAATTCTTGGTTCGAGGGAGGCGATCGTCATAATGACCTATTTATTACTCGAACATTTTCTCGCTTTTCCAGAATTACGAGTAGCGTAGAGTGCTCAGATAATTGGAGAAACAAATTAAACGCTACTTTCATTTAGGTAATATAAGTATATTTAGGTCCTTAATAAACTATTTATTATTATCTATTGTGTTTTAAATCATTTCATTTCATAGTAAAGTTCAGTTGAGAACTTATTCTATAATATTGTTTACGAATTTTGTAAATATCCAAAACAACTTGAATTAAAAGTAGGTATCTATGAAAAGGTTAATGTGTAAGACTAAGAAGGCAAGAGCATAAGAGGTTACATTTAAAGAAAAACAGGGTCACAGTAATGGAGCTGTGTAATATTTACCACAAGGAACGCTACTGCCAGCTAAAGGAAAACATTACGCGTGCGAGAGCTAACAGAATAAATGATATAAGTATCTTGCATTAAGATCTCCTACTAAGGTTTCGAATCGCAAGAAAGTTTATCCCGACTTGCTCATGTCGCATGTCGTAACGAAGTTTATAAGTGAAATTACAATTTTCCCTAAAATTGTTTTATTGCTGACTAACCAAAGTAATAGGTAGATAAGTACCTACTTATTTAGTATGTAGATACGGAATTAAGTAGATATTTTAAATCATAAAATATTTATGAGTTATTAAATAATAAATAAGGGATTCATATCAGCTAAAACAAATAATTTGGTAACAAAACTTTGAAATATTAGATATTTATTTGAGTAAATTGTACCTATGTATACTTAATGGTGAAAGAATTTTCATTGGGTAACTTAAACATTTTGAAAATCGAAGTCACTTGAAAATTTTGCCATAAAACGTGTGCTTAGGAAAATAAAATACGCAACGTGAAATAAATACTTATTAATTTCGTAATAGTGTAAAAACTATGAATTCGAGAATATTACTTTTAGTGGAGTGGTATCGAGATTGGGAATACATTGATCACTGTATTTGGGTATGTTATTTATTTTAGTTCAAAATTACTCTAATATTTTTCCAAGTTAAGTAATAGGTACCTTAATGTCTTTATTAAAAACTAAATAGTGATTCGCGCCATATCCTACACCTACTTAGTTACGTTTAGCTTAATATTATATTAATGAAATACTTACATAATTATAATGCTCAAGTTACACGCTACTCAAGCTACCAAAATTTGGTATAGGGTAATTTAATTACCCTATAGGAATTTGATAAAAAAGCTTAAATTAGTGATTCCCTTTGAGCCCTATCAAATACTCCTGTCTTTGAAAAATTACGCTCAGTAGGTAATACCTACCTTCCTACTTACTTTGAAACATGAGACAGTTAAGTTTTAATAATGAAAGATTAAAGCACATCCAACGTTTTTCCTAATCGTTGTCTTGTTCTTGTCCTTTGTCCGTGTTCCACTTTATCTACCTGATATTTACTCAGTTTGTCATTAATTTCTTTTTGGTGGCAAAATTCTTTAATATTCCCACAATCGTTTTATAGGTTTATACCTTAATCTTTTTCAAGGTAAGTTTTTATATTTATTTATCTAGAATTGTTTATAAAGCTTCTTATTAATTCGTAAACGATTCGGATAAAGTAGATACGTTAATAAAGTAAGTTAATAATTTATTGTCTTTATAATAATCGTCAGACAGATGAGTTTGACTATGGAATTTAAAATGGGGCGCTTAATTTTTACTACTCCGACCGACATCTAGCGCAAAGTTTCCTCAACTACCAATTGCGAGTTGCGAGAAACAACGATATACTAAACTCCAAGGACTTCCCAGAAGCCCACAGGCAGCGCAGAGCCCGCTAACCTATTCATTTCCATGTCATACTGTGTCAACAGATGGCGTTACTAGTTTTAACATCACCAGTTTAAGCGATTGCTATTTTAAAACTCGTTTTAGACAAGTTATTGATTAATTTGATATTAGTGAATCACGCCTTTATTATATTAACGCGCAAGATATTGAAACGTTGTGTAGCTTTCTTCTTTTCACATAATACAATGCAATAGCTAATTAATGTTGTTCGATGCTAACTGTAGTTCATTTACATTAAAATAAATAAATAAAAATAAAAATTGTTTATTGTACAAAATTTATACAAACATTTATACAAACATTGACATCACGACTACTTACCTACACTATAAATTAAGATTTGTTTTTGCATATCTATAATATTTATGAGAAGCTCAACTCAACGTGCGCAGATAAATCGACACAATTCTACCCATTTCATATTAACATTCCCCTAAAATGTTACGATGAAATTTTAATATCCGCTCTAGTCTCCTCACCCACACTCGGATAAGCGGTAGTTCATAACAAACATCTGCGAGATAAAAAAATCATTCATGATTTTAATGTCGCAGGTCTACATTTTTGCTACGTAAACCGCTGTCTTTTGGAGATACACTTCTTTTTTTGACATCACATCAAAACTGTATGAATGATTTCTTATTTATTTTGATTCCAAACTTAAAGATTAAGAAATTTAACATATTTAAGAAATTCTCTACACGTGTGGAATGTTACCTTGTTTATCTATCTACACCATCGGTAAACTATTTCGTAAACGATTACCTAACTAAAGTGTAGAAAGGAACTTATCTGTAAGTATACTTAGAATATTACCAAAACAAAATCTGTTTCTTGTCTTGTTTTTAATGGTAAATCTTTCTCGAGGTATAGACCTAGAGGCTGCTCAAATACATAGACAAATATCTTATTAAGTATCTGATACCAGCACAATGCAACTGTGACGTCAGTATTCAGTAACAATTTATTGAAAACCGACAACTTCCTTTGTAAGAACACGGACGAAATCTTGGTTTTAAGCTTGAAATCAATTGTTATTTTTTGTAAGTAGGTAGATTCAGCAACTAGCAACGCAGCAGGTAGCTTTAAGGATGTAGGTACTCGCCATAGAAATACAAAAGAACTTTTGGGTATCTTTGTCAATTCTATAACTACATTGACTACCTGCCGTCGCGAAGATAGAACTGCCCGTGAAAAAGTTCGCCACTAAACTAATTTACGAGCGAAAATAGGTAAGTAGAGGTACTTACAGATTACAGAATAGCACAACAGATTATCTTACTAGGTACAATGTTATCTGTGTATCTACCTACCTACCTATTTTATCGTTTTTCAATAATTATGTATCTACACTACATTCTAGATAATTTATTCATTAAGTATTCTTACATCCTACCTTTCATCTATTCATGGTACATAGGTTGTAGATATTTTATTTCAAAGAAGCATCAGCAGATTCTTAGAAAGTTTAAAATGTTAGGCCCGTCTAGAACAAAGCAAAATCCCTTAAAGTAATGATGTAGGATTTTACCCTGTCCGTAAATTGTTTTTGCAACAAAAAATACAACAACCAATTTATAAAAACCGTGGGTGAATGTGGGACGAGAGTAGGTAAGTAAATGGGAAACGAGATGAGAAGACGAGAGGAGCGCGGAGCATAGAGGTAGGGAAGGGACGACGCCGGCTCCGGGCGGGGGGCCCGGGAACGGAACGATTCATTGATCCGAACCGTTCTCGGCACTGCGACAGGGACAACAAAGGGAGGGCCCGCCACCATGTATTTTCTCTCTCACTCCATTCAATGCTGAATTCCAGATAGGTACCTACATAATTATATATTTAAGAATAGAAAAACTGTTTAATATTTGCGGATAAATATACATCTCTCGTAAATATTAATTTATTTCTACTTTGGAATTTAGTGTTGACCTTGGTATTGAATACAAGTGACGTTTATTTTGAGCATCTTTGTAAACAACATACCGAAGTATAAAAGAGTTGTATTAGGTGCCTATTCCATAAAAATCTGTATAATGAAAAAATGCATTAAAGTTACCTAAGAGAACTAATGTCCAGCAATAACAACTATTGTTAAATAAAAATTGTTGTTATTATGGCTTGGTTAGGTTGTGACCGAAAAGTTAAAATCATCTGTAATTTTGTGTAAAAGCAACGGCAACATTGTTTGTCACTTTTCGTACGCCGAACCAAGCCGACTGTATCGCCTATCCTTGTCTTTCACACGGTGATTCGCACGGGCGAGGCGACTCGGTGAGTAGCCACGCGTGCTCGTACCCGTCCGTTGTTGCACATCGACATTAACCGCTTTCAGTGCTAGAGCGCGTTCCTCCGCGCTATACTCACATAACCTAAAAGTTAAACAATCCTGATAATTTTAGTACTATTCATTGTAAAACCATTAAATACTCATGATTACCTCGAATTTATAAGTTAGTGTTGTGGAAGTTTACGCCCAGCTAAAGGGCGTACGTGGAGTGTATTTTTGTGCAACACAAAGTAAATACAAACGGCAAGCTGTGGGGTTCAGGGGCCTTTTTTTTGCCGCCGCAGGGGATGTACTATCCTGTGAGTATACACTTTGATATCTATCGCGACAAATAACGTTTATATTAAGACATAGATGATAATTTGTTTTTTGAGCCAGGGACTAAAATAACGATAACCCTGGTGTCAGAGTAAACGGAGCACTATGTTATGGCACTTATGGCGCATGGCGTTACATTTTAATAGTTTATGGTCTCACTGGTACTTACAACAAAAGAACATAACTGTTAGAATGACTACTGATTGTTTCTAGTCCAAATTAGCCTTTATCTTTGAAAATGTAAGGGGAACTAGGCAATTAACGTGCAATTAATTATTTATTGGTAAACTTTTATACAATTACGTATCGTAAATAGGTACGGATCATTGAATCTCTTCTTGCACCCATTGTTATGACATTGAAGTTGAATGAATTCATTGAAATTCATATAGTTGTCTTTTTCTGTTACACTAATAGTGACGTAAGATAAAGAGAGATGGTTTAGTTTGCCTAGGTCTCCATAACAATTAATTAACATGCCAAAAATAGTTTTGTTTACGATGCAACTTGATGAATACTTAAGTGCTTTTATAAAAAAGTGAAATTTTAGTGTAAAAAAATATTTCCCAGAATCCTAGTACTACCTAATCCTATATGTACCTAGTTAATAAATTATTTAGAAATAAAATTCCAATACCCACATAATCTACTAAATAACATTAATAATTACTAACGATATTTAAGTAACATTTGTATTAAAACACATTAATTAATTAAAGGTTTCTATGCCTTTAATCAAAATCTCTTTCTATTTAGGTATCTAAGGTCCTGCCGTGTTATTTTAAATAATGTATAGCACTCTTCTAGGCCAACTAACAAGTTAGATACCTATACCTGAAATTAACATCTCAATGCTAATGTTTATTTGCGTGTGTTATTCATTAAAAGATGATACGTACTTGCAAAGTAATGTACCTACCGTGGTATTTAGTTATCAGTCTATAATACCAAATTCAAAAGTACCTAAATGAAAATATTTTTATTTCCAACCATTTAATGATGCAAAATTGCCCTTCACAAACCTGTTTACATAATAGATACCTATATTTTATCCATATATTTTGCTGAATCTAGGTTTGGATCGCTTAAAGAGTTGGCGCCACTGATTTGACTGTTGTGAAACAAATTTTATTAATAATCTTAACCCACTTTATTTGAAGTCGTTAACAAGTAGGTATACATGTATTTCTTTCGTAAATACGCGTAGCTACGAATAATATAACCAGAGAACCCTAACACATTTTAAATTTTTGTCACATCTAGACACAGTCTCTCAGTTACTCTGTTTACGCATTGCAAATGCACAGTACGGTGGTACCTCCATTTAATTTTACATAAGTACCTATCGTAGAAAAATAAGAAATATGGCGGGTAGATAGTACCCACCTACTTGGAGTTTACGTTTTGAAATTTTGCAACAAATACAACTAGCTTGCTCCCCTCGGTATACTTGGAGCGTGTTGCTATCGTCGGAAGGGGGACCGGAACCCGTTCATGCCTCAAGGTGAACGCGAAACTCCACCGGGTGATGGTAATAAGGACAAATTATTCGCATACCGGCCTTTTGTTCACATCTCCCTCTTCATGGATGTATACTTCACGACTTCGGGTCGACTACCTGCCAGTAAACATTGAAACATCGAACGAAGCAGGTAGCAGCAAGCTAAACCCCGTTCTATAACGCAGCTGGTTTTACAGAGACTAAAAAAACTTTTGTACCATTGTATAGGTACCTATGTATTTTAATTAAGAGTAGGTGCCCGGGCTGCGATTAAGTTGGATGCAAATAGTTTTAATGTCACTTCTGTCGGCATTGTAAACTGCAGTAAAAAATCTATGTAGGTACTTAAATGGTTTGCGTTGCCAACTTAAATTATTTATTTTTTATAATGATTATAAAATCCATAATTAATGTACCTACCTACTAGGTATGTAAAAAAGAAATAAACCCTAAATACATGATTTAAACCGACCAATCACTAACTTGGTGTTTCGATTCCCGAATCACTGACCAAAAGAACGCTTTCAATAAAAATGCCACCCAAAGTTACGTTAACAGGTCGAGTCATGGGTATTAGAACAATCAAGTTATTTCCTACGCAAAAATTAAAATCGGGCTTTGTTTCTAAATCAAGGAATTTGGAAAATGATTACATTAACGTTTCCTGAATAAAATGGGTATCTTCAGATATTACTAATTTTGTTATTGGGCAGCCGGTTCTAATAGCAGATCTGTCGGTATTCTGGATCTCTGAAAGTTACAAATTAATTTAAATGTTCAAAACACAGGCGCCCTTGTTGGATCCGTTAATGACTTACTTATTTCGCTCGTTTGGAACTCCATCGAGATGACGGAAATTGAGTTATCCAAAGTTTCCGAAGTCGAACTTTTTATTTCTTTTCTTTACTAGGTAGTTACACATCTTAATAATAACATAACAAAGTATAATAAGGCTTTAAACTGCTTGGATTTATAATGCGTCTTTCAAAAAACTTCACCGATGCAAAGACCCTTAAAATACTATATTGCACTTATGTCAGGAGCCAGCTGGAGTATGCGTCTCAGGTATGGAATCCAAGATATCAGAAATATATTGACCGCGTGGAAAACATTCAAAAACGTTTTATAAAATATCTCTGCTTTCACCAAAATATACCATACCAGTCTGCCCGTTATCTTGAACTCTGTAGAAAATTCCATCTATTACCATTAGTAGATAGACGCAATATTGCAGATTGTCTATTCTTGTTTAAGGTTCTTAACGGCAATGTGGATAGTCCAGAACTATTATCAAAAATCAAATTTAATGTACCTAATAAAATATTTAGATTTAATCCACCTTTACACGTATCCCGTTCCTCATCTAACTACAGGCAGAACAGTTACATTGTGCGTGCAAGCAGACACTTTAACAATGTTTGTAAGGAATATGACTTCGATCCGTTTACAACTAGTGTGAACTCGGCAAAGAGGTGCTTAAGCCTCAAATTTTTTAAGCAGCACTAGATATTTAGTTTTTTTTATCGTTTCTCTTGATCTATTTATTATATTGTTATTTATATTGTCTGTACGGTCTGTTTCAGTATTATTATTTTTTTTTCATTTATGCAGAATGTATGTATTTTTTAATATTGTATAGTACTCACACCATATTAATTAATTTATTCCAAATCATAAACGTGAGGACTTGTTATTGGCTCATTGTTACCTACGCCTATTGTTATTTTTATCCATTTTTATAAGCTGTAAGTCTTCCATGAATTATAAATAAATAAATAAAAATAAATAAATAAATAAATATATAAATAACAAAAACGATGAATTGCAGTTCACATAGTTCAATATTCATGTAATGTAAAAATATGACATTTTATTTCAATTGTAGAAAATAATCGACTTTACTGAAGAAATAAGTAGTATACTTTTCCTACAATGAGAATAAGCACCGGGTTCACCACGATATGGCAAATAGGTTTCCGTTCCACATCTTGCTTCGTATGACGGCTTGGTTTCTGCTATTTAAATCTTTTCGCGTCAAGAAAACGTGTGTACGCCTTTCCTTTCTGTACATAAGTATATATAATGTATATGGAACGAATGAGCACGTTACGTATTATCGAATTCGTAAATTGCTCACGCATTAATCGGTGTGTGTAAATAAAAGCTATTCAGCTAGGACAAGTTTCTGATGTCGAGTAACTTTGTTTTTCCTTTTATAGCTATGAGTTGACCACTTAGGCTTAGGCTGTAACGTAACAATTTATTAAATTTATCGAATATTTTATAGGCAAGAGCTCCTTATACCACACGTCGACAATAAATCTCGATTGGGTCCCCTGTCCCACAATAACAGAAGTTAGGGGAAGGCTGAAACTGGCAGGCACCGCTACTAGGCGTCTATTACAAAACATTATAGTATTTACAATACAAAAGTAATAATTATGATTTCATTGTAAATCTTGTGCACTTCAGAGATGTAGTAGTAAATGTTGGTTTTGGAACACGAAATTTTGTTTATTGATGAAACTTTCTTTTACAATCGCTTTCGCGTACATGTACTCTGTATGCTCAACAAATACATTCATCATTCCAACGAAACATCTATAAACATTACCAAGAAATGTCGTAACGCAACATTCTCCAAATGGCCGATTTAAAAAACAAAAGATTTTTCTTGTAATGAAAGATACTTACAAATAAGAACATTTAAATATTGTGTGCGTTTTCCAAAACAAAAGCTAACAACTCCTTGCTGTCGAGTGAGACAATGACAGGCATACGATCACGAAAGGATCAATATCGTGTGATTCGTGTGGATACAGAGTTCATTTATATTTAGAACCAAAAAGCTATCTGAGTCAATGTGAATTCAAACCTTCTCTAACCATTCTGAGACAAATATTTAATTACACGCCTTTATATTGCTACTTTAATGTTTAATGGTCGTCATAAATTGTGAAGTCTTTCAAACCAGAAGGTTCTGTTCTGTATCTATCGTGTTTTCGACCAATTACCTCGTACGTCTTCTCTTGATGTAATTTCGGTGAGTTGATTGTGTTGTATCCGTTTCACTTACACGCATTTTATTACATTCAGAGCAACCACCGCGCCGCCTTAGCCCCAACGTACAGATGTAATATTTTTGTGATTCGATGGAATGTGAATGCTTGATTTGCGAGACATTAAAGTTTTTTGCATATAATCTTACTTTGTACAACTTTCAAAGGCTATATGAATAGAAACCTGATATAATTTTGAATAATGATACCTGATAACTACGTCGTGTTGAAATATCTTTTAGTTCTTATAGTAAAGGGAAATAGGATAAATAAACATTTAAATTATTTACGATATCACATATTTTACTTACAATAAAGTCAATATTGATGTAGTATCTTTTAGCAGAAAATTCAAGACCAATTAAAATGACGCATTGATATCAAAAGCTACAGTACTTATTCATTTCGTATATGAGTTCTG